AGGTCCCCCAGCTGTCGCTGTCACTGATCCGTGCCGGTGGCAGCTCTCCCTGGTGGCACTGACCAACACCCTGCCCGGCCACCAAAGCCCCGCTCAGCGCCGAGCCCGGAGCCCGGCGCGGCTCCCTCCAACCTCGGGGAGTGCTACAGCTCCAGCCCGGCCCCAGGACAGCTCCGGGGGGTTCCCTCAAGCACAGCCCGGGGAGAAATCGTGCCTGAATCCAGCTTAAATAACCTTAAACACACCCTGAAGCGTTGTGAGGCTGCTGAGCCAACACACGGCCCGGGAGCTGCAGGAGCCGGGTCGGCGCTGAGCGGGGCTGCGGCACCCCCGGCTCAGCCCCGGGCACCCCCAGAGCAGTTTGTCCCAGTGCTCCCCGATGTCCCCGTGCCCCGCTGTGTCCCCGAGCCCCCGGCCACGCTCTGTGCCCTCCCTGCCCGCAGGGAATAGAGCGGGCGAGTCCCGGCGCGGTGTCTCCGAGCAGGACCCGGACCAGCCCGAGCCAGGGACAGCAGCCGGACATGCCAGAGCCAGCCCCGCTCGGCGGGGACAGGAAAGCGGCCGAGAAGAAGCGGGTGGAGAAGGTGGGAGCCAAGGGCAGCGCTGCCGGGCCTCCAGGTGGGTGTGTGGGGAAGCCCTTCCTGCCCCAGCAGGGCCACCCTGTTCCCAAGGTGGCCACAGGCACAGTCCCGTGTCCCCGGCCGGCCCGGGAGGCACCGTGGGGCAGTGAGGGGAGGAGCTGTGCTCTGCAGGAAATCATGGGGAAATCTTGGAGATGGAGATGGGATGGGGATGGGGATGGGGATGGGGATGGGGATGGAGATGATGGAGATGGAGATGAGATGGAGATGGAGGATGCAGATGGGAATGGAAATGGAGATAAGATGGAGATAAGATGGAGATGGAGATAGGGATGGAGATGAAGATGGAGATGGAGATGATGGAGATGGAGATGAGATGGAGATGGGGCTCCTCAGCACCTGCCACATCCTCCACTTCTTCCTCTTCCGCCTCCTCCTCTCCACCTGCTCAGATTGGCTGCTGGAGGGGGAGCAGGGGCAGAGATTTTCCCATCTTGATCCCCGGGATTCTCAAATGCCACCATGGCCCAAAGCCCTCAGTCCCAGCCCCCTGTGACATTGTCCCCACTCCTGCAGCGCAAACACCTGGCAGGAGCAGCCCCTGTCCCTGTCCCTGTCCCCATCCCTGTCCTGTCTCTATCCCTGTCCCTGTCCCTTCCCTGTCCTGTCCCTATCCTGTTCCTGTCCTGTCCCTGCTCCTGTCCAGAGTGGACTGTGTAGGAGGATGTTCAGAGCCCTTCCCACCCCCAGTCCCGAGCCCTTTCCTCCTCCCAGTTCCCTCCAGTAACATTTTTCCCGTGGGGTTCCCAGTCCCGCGGAGCCTCCCCGTGCAGAGCAAGGCGGAGCCGCCCGGCCTGGACCCCGCGGAGGAGCCGCTGCTCTGGGAAGGGCTCACCCTCAACAAGTGCATCCTGGTGGCCTCCGTGGTCGCCCTGCTCAGCGTCACCTTCCAGGTGCTCCAAGGTGAGTGGGGATCGGGTGGAGCGGGACAGGGCGGCCAGGCCGTGCTGCCACCTCCTGGCTCCTGTCCCCTCCTCTCTTGCAGCGCCATGCTCCAAGGAGGGGATCGACCGCGCCCGCCCGGAGCCTCCGCCGCCTCCCATTCCCGGTGGGTTTGACGCTCCGTCCCGTCCCGATCCCCCGCACCCAGCCGGGGACACCCAGGGTGGGCTGGCCCCGGGACCCCGTGCCTGGGACACCCCACCCCGACAGCCTCATCCTCAGCTGTCCCYCTCCCTTCCCAGAGATCGTCAGCCCCAAGGAGGAGGAGATCCCGGAGGTGGTGACAGCCCAGCCCGCGCCGCCGCCGGAGAGCAGCGTGGCCGAGGATGACGGGGATGATGAAGATGGTGACGATGACTATGACAGCGAAGCTGACAGCAAYCTGGTACGGGCCAGGGTGGCACCTCCCGGGGCAGGGGCATCTTGTCCCCAGGGGAGGGATGGACAGGGGTTCCCGGTCCCCTGGGCTGCATCATCAGCTCCTGGTCCCCTCTGTCCCCACAGGGAGAACCCTGGATCTTCAAGAAGTGGTTTGGCCGTGCGACACCAGAGGATGAGGACAAGRATGGGGACAATGATGAGGATGGGGACAAGGATGAGGATGAGGAGAAGGATGAGGACAAGGACGAAGAACCTGCAGATGTCCCCGAGGTGCCGCCGCCTGTGATGGAGGGGAAGAAGAGCCAGGAGAAGCAGGAGAAGAAGGTGGAGAAGAAGGTGGAGAAGAAGGAGGAGGAGGAAGACGAGGAGGAAGAAGAAGAAAAGGAGGAGAAGGAGGAAGAAAAAGAGGAGAAGGAGGAGGACGAGGAGGATGAAGAGAAGGAGGAGGAAGAGAAGGAGGAGAAGGAGGAGAAGAAGAAGAAGGAGGAGAAGAAGGAGAAAGGCCGGGAAGGCCGTGCCGTCCATGCGGAGCGGAGCAGCCGGAGGGAGGCACGAGCCAAGGACAGGACAACGGGGGACAAACCTGGCAGAGCCCCCAGGGCCCCCAGGGAACCCGAGCAGCAGCCGCAGAAAAAGCGAGACCGGGAGAGGAAGGAGAGGAAGGAGAGACGGCGGGAGCGGGACGAGCCCAGGAGGGAGGGGTGGAAGGGCCGTCCCGGCAGGGCCGACGGCGGGCGGGAGAGCCCGAGGCGGGACTGGAAGCAGCAGAAGGGCCGGAAGCCCTGGGAGCCGGCACCGGGCAGGGACGGCAGGGCCAGGGAGGGCAAGAGGCGCGACTGAGGCCGGGGAGGGCGAGGGGCTCGGTGGCGCTGGAGCCGGGGGTCCCGGAGGATCCGGGGGGATCCAATCCCACCACTGCCCCCACCAAGGGACCCCCGCCCGCTCTCCAGAGACACCCCCAGGCCCGGGCAGCACCCCAGGACCCCAGAGGAGCAGCTCAGGAGCCTCCCCGGGGACTTTGGACTCCCTGGATCAGAYGCACAAAGGCGACCTGAAAGGACTCGTGGAAGTAGCTCCTCTTTGGGCCTCTCCATCCCCACCCAAACCCCTCTGCAGTTCATCTCCGCCCCTGTCCCGGTGAACAGAGTTATGTCCAGACCCCGTAGCTCTTGGGTTAATGGTTTTATTGAAAGCAAATCAAGAGAGAAGAACATTCTGGGTTACGGAACCAGGCTGCAGCCGTCCTCACAGGGACATCGGGACACTCCCCCCGAGCCACCCACCCCAGTGCCATCGCTGTGGGGTGGCACAGTGCTGGTGACACAGCAGGGCTGGTGACACTCCCCCGGGGATCCCTGCGAGGAAGCTTCGCCTTCTCCGAGTCGCTTTCAGGAAAGAAACACAAGAGCAATATCACACAGCCAGAGACGTTCACAGCCCCGATCCACGGCAGGTTTCAGTATTTGCTAAATCAACAGTGGTTAAAATAAACTATTTTCATTTTTAATAAGGTAAAAACTGGATGTTTAAAAAAGAAAAAAAAAGGAGAAAGGAAAAAGGAAAAATGAGAAAAGCCCTTGTCCCTGGTTATGTGTTTTGTCCCTGGTTATGGTGTGTTTTTGGGGTCCCCCAAATCCGAGGGGCTCAGGGTTAATCGTGTGAAATGGGATTGGCGGGGACACTGGAGGCACAGCCAGGACAAGCCCAGGAGCTGCTTGCCGAGGGCTCGGAGCCCTCGCTGCGGGCGGGGCTCAGCTGGAAGATGATCCGGGGCAGGCGGGCCGCGCTGACGCCGGCGGGGAMGCGGAGCAGGTGCTCTGGCAGCCGCTCGCTCCCGCTCCCATTAATGGTGTGAGCAGTCCGGGAGGTGAAACGGGATCGCTGCCTCCCCCCTTCCCTCGGCCCGGCTGCGGGGTCAGCGCGGGGTGACGCAGATGTGACCTGGCCCGGTGCCCCAGGCCACGGCTCCTCACGGCTGCCACCGCCACGTGTGCCCGGGGCAAGGCTGGTCTCTGCCAGGGGATTTGGCCTCTTGYTCTGCCGTGTGGCCAGAGGGGCTGGGAAATGGCCTGAGGATGCTGCAGGGCTGGGAGGAAGCAGCAGCTGCCCTTCCCARCCACCGCAGGAGCGGAGAGCGAGGGATAAATCAGAGCAGCCCTGCCTGGATGAGCCAAGCTTTGCCCTCTCCCCACGGCACCCGGCGGGCACCTCGGGCATCCTCAGCRGAACCGGAGCAGCCCCCAGGGACAGGCGTGGACGAACCCAGAACCAGAGCGACGCTAACGAGCCAGACCGTGGGGGAAAACACACGCGGGAGCTCCCGTCTCGGCGAGAAGCACCGGCTCCCGGGACAGGGGCCGGGCCGGGGCGAGCGGGAGCCTCACCGGCAGCCGCACTCCTCTGCCACCATGTTGGGGAACATGCGGATCTCCAGCCTGTCCGCTTTGAGGCTGATGATGAGCTGGTCCGAGTAGCGCACGGGCACGCAGCACGGAGCCCTGCGCAGCGCCGAGCCCCGCTCCTGCATGCCCAGCAGCAGCACCGTGTGCGAGAAGTAGCCGGGGACACGCGTGGACAGCGGCAGCCGGCACGGCCCCTCGCAGTTGTTGGCCGAGTACACGGTGGGCATGACGATGAAGTGGCGGTCGCGCAGGTCGATGGTGAGYTCCTGCAGCCGGCAGTGCGCCTGGTGCCGGGCGCTGCGGTTCTGCCGCTGCACCTTCCTGCGCTCCTGCCAGCGCGCCCGCACCGACTGCAGCGCCTTCAGCAGCAGCAGCGTGCGCAGCTTCCGCGAYCCCGGCACCTCCTCGGCCGCCTCGGCCCGCCCCGGCTCGGCCGGGTAGTAGCAGAAGGTCAGGAGGTGCTGGAAAAGCGCCGCGTTGGCCTGGAAAGCCGGGATGTCCCTGAGCTCGTGGATGAGCAGCTGCAGTTTGCCCAGCAGCAGCTGCAGCACGGTGCCCTCCGGCTGCCAGTCCCCCAGGTGCTGCTCCAGCACGGCCCCGCTGTCCTGGGGGAGCAGCAGCACCGAGGGCTCCTCCGACTGCACCAGCCGCTCCAGCGCCGCCTCCTCCGACAGGTTGAGCAGCTGGTGAGGGAGGGTCTCCATCAGCTGGAAGTCCAGCCAGTGGTGGGCACTGGGCTGGGGGGGCGGCTCGCTGGACGGGCTCAGCAGCTGCCGGATGAAGTGGGTCAGGCTCGCCAGGAACTCGGCGCTGCCGCCGGGCGCTGGGGAWGAGCTGTTGCCTGGGGTCAGGGTGAAGGGGATCGGCAGCTCCTCGGTGCCATCCCGGGGTGGGCTGCAAGGAGAGCGCAGGGAGGGGTCACGGGGGTCCCTGTGTACCCCGGGGGTCCCACCAGACCGTGCCCCACAGCCATCCACGGTCTCAAGGCTGGGGCTGCCCCCGTCCCACCTCCTCTCCCGGCCCCGGTGTTTTCCCGTGCCCGCAGCTACGGACCTGAGCTGCGGGTACGGAGCCGTGTCCAGCACCCCCTCAGCAGAGAGGTAGGAGGACGRGGMCAAAGCCTCCTCTTCCTGCTCCTGYCGCCGTGACTTGGCCAGCAGCAGCAGCACCGGGGTCATGCGGGTGAAACATTTGTCATCGGAGCCGAAAAGGAGCTGCTGCACCTCGCTGCGGGGCAGGGGGGCACCTGCGGGGGCAGCAGAGCTGAGGACGCTGCTCTGGGCTCCCCCSTGTGTCCCCACCGCCCCTCGTGGGCCTGAGAGGACCCCAAACGCCCAAGGGAGGACACGAGGGCAGGGATTCCGCTGCCCCCAGGGCGTCCCCCCGTCCGTACCTCCCGCGCCGCCGTGGATGGCCAGGGAAGCCGAGAAGCGGAGCTGCTCCGCGCTGCGGGTGACYGAGGCTGCGGCGGCTGCCAGGACCAGGTACTGCGTGTCCCTGGAGAGGCAGAGCCTCTGCACCGGGGCAGAGACACAGAAACCCCGAGGGCGTGGGTGACACAGCTCGGGGGACACACTCAGGTGAGCCCCGCTGGGCTCCGTCACCCAGCCCGGGTGGCCCGCGGAGCAGCGGCGTGGAGAGTGGGACCACGGGGAGCATCGCCCCCAGCCCCAGAGCTGCTCCGGGGGCCGCGGGGTGCAGGGAACCCGATGAACCCCCGGGCGGGCAGGCAGAGGATCGGGACCCCGGACAGCCCCTGAGGCCCTGGCGGAGCTGGGGACAGGGCAAGGGCTCCATCTTCAGGCACGGCGGGAGCGGGAGACGGGGCGGAGGGGATGGGATGGGATTGTGAATGGACTGGGAGGGGCTGGCAAAGGGACTGGGCGGAGCAAAGGAGCTGAAGAGAAAAGCAAAGGGACTGGGAGGGGATGGTGAATGGACTGGGAGAAGATGACAGAGGGGCTGGGGGGATGACAAAGGGGCTGCGCAGCAGGACCGGGACACCCCCTCTCACCCCCCTGCTCCCCCCAGGCCCGGACCCCCGGTCCCACCTGGTCCCGCGGCAGCCCCGGGCCGGTGACCAGCAGCTCCTGCGGGCGCCCCGAGCCCCGGCCCTCCCGRCGGCCCAGGTAGAAGAGCATCACGGCCGCCTGCAGCTCTCCCAGCGCCCGGCCCACGTCCGCCTGGAAAACCAGCTGGAACTGCAGCTTCRCCTGCGCTTCCCACTGCACTGCAACGGGGGAGACGCGGCCGTGAATCCCCCCCGGCTCGGGGGGGTGTGAGGAAGGGGCTTGGGGCTGAGCACTGTCCCCATGCAGGGACCCGAGCACCTGGGACAGGAGGGACACGGCAAATCCCGTCCCGGCTCCAGGGCAGTGACAGCGGGACAAACCCTGCACCCCGTGAGCAGAGAGCTGCCTCCCCCCAGAGCCGCRCTGCCAAACTTCCATGGGCAAATCCCATGGAAATCTGTGCGCCGGGTGCTCGGGGTCATCGCGGCCACTGCCTGGGGAGGAGCCACTTCCCCACTGCCCAGCACTGGCGGGTCCAGCTGAAAATCCAAACCCCGGGAGAGCAGAAAAGTTTCAGGAAGAAAGAAACAATCATGACCCTCTTGTTATGGATTAAAAGGGAGGGGGTTAATCCCTCTCCAGCGCTGGGATCACCCCTGGGATGGGCCAGATGTGCGTTGAAGTTTTCCCGTGAGGTTGAAGCTACAGGAGCAGCMCAGGACCCCAGAGTGGGAGATCAGCAGCAGGTGCCGGGCTCTGCGGGAGCAGCTGGGTCTGACCCTCCTCTGTTCCCAGAGCTGGGATGGGATCCAAMCCCGCGGTGTTACGGCACAAAGGGAGGAACACTCGGTAATCATGAGAGCAGAAGCCACCAAGAGTCACAGAATGTCCTGAGCTGGAAGGGCCCCACAGAGATCACCCAGCCCAGCCCCTGGCCCTGCCCAGACCCCCCAACAGCCGCACCCTGTGCATCCCTGGCAGCGCTGTCCAAACGCTCCTGGAATGCAGCACCAGGTGCTGGTCAGAGGCAGGGACAGGACCCTGGGCACATTTCCATCCTCACTGCCAAACCTCCTGAAAATCATCCCAGAGACGTTTTACCTCCATCTCTTCGCTGATTTAAAGGGAACCCAATCCCCCAAATTTAATTCTGTGTTCAAATCTGTGATTTAGGGCCAGCAAACAGCATCACCATCCCAAGCCCCGCACCCTCCCCTCCCTGCTGCACCTCGGAGCCCGCAGGGCTGTCCCACCAACCTTCCTCCAGGTGCAGGACGAGGAATCTCTCCGGCCCCGGCTCCAGCACATGCTCGTGGATCCTCCGCAGGGGATGGGCAGCAGCCCCCGCCTCCCCGGGCCCGCACAGCCCGAAGGTCCCGGCCAAGCTCCCGTCCCAGCTGCGGCGCCGTCTGAGCAGTTTGATGAAGCCGCTCTCGTAGTGGCTGAGCACCCCCACCACATCCAGGTGCCTGGSGGTGGCCCCGTCCTGCTCCATCCTCACCCGGCACACGGGCCCCTCCAGCCCCCCGAGGGGCCAGGGCTGCAGGTCCCAGCGCGGGCCCCCCTCCCCAGCCATTCCCTGCGGGCACACTGCTCCCGGCTCGGGCTCGCCCCAGCGGCGGGTGCCRGCCGCCCTCCTGGCCCTGCGGCTCTCCTGTAAACTCGCATTGCCCACCCTTCTCCCCTCCAGCAGGCTGAGCTCGGGCTGGCGGCTCGGGGAGCGCCTCTCCCCGCTCCTGGGCAGCGCTGCAGAGGGAAGCAGCAGCAGGAACAGCCAGAACCCCCTGAGAGCAGCGCTCATGGTGCCACCTCAGCTCTTCCCCGCCAGCAGCTCAGCATCCCCAGCCCTCCGCAGCAGGAGGGAGGACGGCGTCTCCCTTTTAACCACGGGTGGCCTTGAGTGGCCGAGGCACAACAACCTCCCCTGAGCAGCCCCGGGGCTGTCGCGCTGCCGAGGAGCGAGGGAGGTGGCAAAGAAACTTTTTTTTTGTTCTATTTTTGGGTCCGCGGCTCGTTTTGGAAACGTGCAAAAATCGAAGCTGTTGCGCTCGCTCGTCGGGATGCACGGCCTTGACTCGGGATGTTTTCAGAAGGAGGATGGAGGGCTGGAATGGGATCCTCATGGGGTCTGGCACGTACGACCCCATCAGCAGCGAGACACCGGCAGGGGAGAAGGGCCAGAGCAGCAGGAGGGGGAGAGGAGCAGATAACGAGCTGAAATGAATGAATGTATGGCAAGAATTCCCTCTCCCGGCTGGAAAAGCTTCCCCTCCTTCACACCCTGCAGCTCAGGCTGCCCTGGAAAAGGGCTTYATCCTGGGAACGGGAATCACGGTGTGCAGAGGACTCTGAACACTCAGTACYTCCCTTACAAAGTCTCTCACACCTATTTTAAGGACTTTTCCCTCCTTAAGATGGCAATACTGGAACAGCTGGAATTGCCACCTGATGCAATTGCCTTCTCATGCACCCTGAAAACTGCCCCCCAGCCAAGGGATCTCCTTTTCTTGGCCAGGGAAAATGCCCTGATAAAAGTTCCTTTGAAACCCAGACTCTTCCCTGGGTTTCTGAGTATCTGCAGGCTGGAGCTCGGGATCATCAGAAAAAGGATGGAGCAGGACAGGGACACCACAGCSAGGGCTGGTGGAGTCTGAGGTCACTTCTGCAGGAGCTGACAGGCCCTGGAAGTGCTCCGAGGGCTGGAGCCCCTCTGCTCTGGGGCCAGGCTGGGAGAGCTGGGGGTGCTCACCTGGACAGGAGAAGGATCCAGGGAGAGCTCAGAGCCCCTTTTGGGGCCTGAAGGGGCTCCAGGAGAGCTGGAGA